AAAGCAACGATATTTTATATTCCGGGCGAGAACGCCCTATCCGTAACCGATACTCGGTTGAAGAAAACTGTGTACCTCCCTTGAAACTCAGCCTGCAATGCTTGCTCACCAACTCCGTAAGGGACACTTCTGAATTCAAGTCTTCGTGTAGAACCTCGGCCTCCTCAATATGCTCTCATAGCCACGTACTACTGTTTTCACCGCACTCAATCTGATACCTGCCTCCTCGTGATTCATCGCCTGGAACCGCTCATCATCGGTCGTGATCAGCTGTCATCGTGGCGTCATTATTATGTCTGAGTCGACCGACACGTGCACGGGTGCAGCGTAGTCATATAATCGTCAACCCGCTGGACCGGGACGGCTGCCCGAGGTACAGTCGAGCAAGTTATTGGGTATTTATGACGTCTTCTTGGGGACAGCGCCGCCGTTGGTGTATCTGCTGATGTCGGTGGCATCGTGGAACGAACGACCACCCGCCTTGACGCTATCCCAGGCCTGGCGGACGTAGGGAGAAGTTCCCTGGTTTCCGACGGCAGCATCAATGCGAGCCGTCGCCTGGCCAACGGTGGACTGCACGTGCGAGCTCTGGGCGAAACGAGCGCGAACAAAGGCGGTGTAGAGAACGAGAAGAATCCACGACCGGCGCTGGAAGAGGATGGCAGCAATGAAGAGGCGGAGCCAGAGCATCACCTCAAGGGCAGACACAACGGACATGGACATGTCGTAGTAAGTCTTCACAAAGTTGCCAATGGCATCGGCGATGGGGCTGGAAGCCTTGGCCCCAGGAGCAGCACCCTGAGCCGGGGCAACAGTAGGGATGACGTTGGCGCGAGTGTAGGTTGCCACGTGGAAGACGGAGTAGATGCCATAGGGAAGCAGAGCAAGAGGGTACTGAGGAGTAAAAAGCCAGACAAGAGCCATGGCTGTGTACAAGTTAGCACGCGCGACTCGCCAACGGATGCGATGCTGGTTACATACCAAAGTACTGAACGTTCTCATCGGACAGCAGACCGACGGCACCGGCCGGGTATCTTGCGCCAACCTTCTGTCGGGCTCGGAACGTCTTGTAGATGACGATTCCGTATGTCACGGCGGCGGCAACGAAGGAGAGTCGGTAACATGTCTGAGCCGTCTTCGAGTAATAGTTGAATCGGATCAATGACAGAGAGTACCTGAAGATGGAGATCAGGAGAACCAAGTGTCTGTTGAACATGTGTTAGCATTTCGCCATTCTTGCGCCATCGGGTAGATACGATCGCGAGGATTCGAAGCTTGGAGGTGCGTGTCTCAACGCTGCGCACGAGGGATCTTTGTTGGATGTACATACCCGGTAAACCAGCCGACTGCGACGAAGATATGTTAGCGAAGTACTCAAACAATGATATGGAGTGCTGAGACTTTAGGCAAGGCTGTATCACTACGTACATTGCAGCGTCTTCGCGAGAGCGAGGATGCGTTCCTGCAGAGGCAGGTTGGCGGGAGGCGGAGGGGCCATCTTGTGTTGTCGTTGATGGAGAAGCACGGGTGAAGCTTGTGTTTAGTAGAAGATATTGTGCAAGTTCTGCGCCGCGGGTTGGGGGATAAGAAAGAAATCGCAAAAAGCCTTCTCGCGTGCGCAAGTTTTTGGTGTCTGGTATCGGGTAGGAAGACGATCGATTTGGAAAGCTGATGAGGTGGCTGGACAGAGGGCGGGAAAATGACGACGGGTGGGCCTGTGCCTCGTAGCTCGGAAAGCGTCCCGCCGTGGTCGGTGCGTAGGTCGCGGCTACTGTGAGACTGGGGGAATCTGGGCCTGGCTTGGACAAGGTTTCGAGGGAAAAGAGAAGAGATTCAGCTGCTGTGGAGCGACCAGGAGAGTCAGTCGCGGGGCACCGGGCGGAGGGTAATGGAACTGTGCTTGCTGGCTTCAAATGGTTGCTGGGTCCTGCGTTTGTGTCAGGTTGCTGGTCGGTATGTAACCTGGAGGTTTGAAAAGTGGAAGAAAATGGTAGTGAATCCCCTCTCCTGATCGCACCCTCTGCACAGGTTCAATTATTATATCAGAGCTGCCAGTCTGATTCACTGATCAGAGCATCTGCAGAGTCCCCCGATTTCCTTGATTTGCTGCTTCAGCCTCAAGCTTGCGGGAGCCTAGTGTAACGATGTCATATCTCCTGTGAAACCACCGCCTAAGAAGCAAGACCTTTCGTCATCGGTTCTGGTAGTGCTCCCCACTAAGATCTAGAGTCCGCCTCTGAATCTTGACGTTTTTGATTGTGCGCATTTGCTTTCAAAAACTTTCCGGTAGTCTGTTTCAACCTTCGAGCCCCTATAACTATAACTGCTTGGCTTCTTCATATTTCGTAGAAGTTGGAGTTTACACCTGCAACCACGCGTATTCAGGAGTGATTGATCTGTTTATCATATCATCTCTAAACTTCAGAATCACATGGAACTGCACACCGCTGGTCAATATATTATCTGCCCAATCCGAGGCCTGGCCAGTCTCTGATTAGCCATTTCAACGATGGTGAATACTGGCTGCAGCTGGGCTGTGTACGCTAACCAGATCCCCCGCCTATCCGGCATTCGGGGGGCCTCCAGCGCAAAAAATGCGATGAAGCTAACAGTACAATGGATCCACTGGGATCTCCGATACTGATGCTCAAGCGCAAGAAAGATTGGGGGAGCACAGCCGAACAAGATTCAATTACCACACAAAGGATAAGACTTTTCCCAAATTTGATGTTTTACAATCATCGATTTCGTCATGTTGTATATACAGCTCGTCGTGAACATGATCTCAAGGCATTCTCAAGTACACATGCACTGAAGATTATGCCTTTCTATGCCCCGACTTCCAGTTCGACCGCCATCGTTTACGACGTGCAGTTGCCCTGGGTAATCTTGTTGATCGAGGATGCATCGGTTCCCAACGCGGCAGCCTCGGCAATCCAGGCCTATAAAGTGGTTAGCATGGATGATTCCTCTTATTCAACCAAGGAATGCATCATTTCTGGCGACCAAGACTTACATCGAGATCCTCCTCGGACGGGTTCTGCACTCTGCTCAGGATGAACAAGTCGCTCCAAGACGGGCTCTGGACAATGGCCCAGTTGGGGTCGTACCCTGTATAGAAGCGATCAGTTGCTATTCCTCTTCTCGTTCAGCAGCATGAGGCCTGGACTCACTCTGTACAATGTAGTTCGGACCCGGGCAGACGACGCCGCCTCCGGGGACGGACGGGAAGCTGACTTGGAACGCGCCCTTGCTGCCGTACTTGCTGTCCACGATGCTCGCGGTGCCGTTGATCTCGTTCGGGATGAGGCCGAAGATCTTGCAGGAGTTCAGCACGCTGACGGTGCCGTCGTCGTTGAGGCCGTAGTCGGCCGTGGTGCATTGGCAGCCCGCGGTGAAGATGGCAAACGTGCCGGCTACTTGGTACCATCGGCCCAGGTACTCGGACAGGTCGTCGGGGAACTGGGTATCCGGGACGGGGTAGTAGCACGATCCATCGTAGAGGGCGGGATTGACGCCATCCCCAGTGGAGTTGGTGGCGCGCTGAACCGGCCGGTGCGCGGGAGTGGCGGTCGCGAGCGCCGCCAGTGCCGGGATGAGAAGCTTCTGGGCGTACATGTTGATTTTATAGTATCAACTTCAAAACTGTCGATGTTGTGATTCCGGTGGAGATTTGAACGGTGTGTGCTGCCGCATGCCTCATGAGTGATCACGGGCGCCTGGCACCGCCGGTTCTTATAGACATTGTCGCAATATCACGAGCCTCAAGGGGCACCTTCTTTGCTCCCCTCGGTTCCAGCAGTATCCCAGGCCAAAATGGCGATCGCGATGGCAGTCGGACTTGCTGCGCGCATCGGCGCTCTCGTTATTGTTCCGCGGTGCGAGTGTGCAAGTGGGCAGGTACGTGGGCCAAGGCACTGCCGAGCCCATTCTCATTGCGGATGCCGACTGGCGACCAGGTCGGTGCCCTGCCAAATCGAGTCAGCCCCGCCCCTGGGACCGTTACTATAGAGCTCAGTCATGAATCATAGTAAGAGTTTTGGTAATTAATATATGGCCAGGATCGTCCCGCTTAAGGTCAGTTAAGCTTTCTGTCGCTTAGGATTTGACGTGAGGCACCACGAAGTCGGCACCATTATGGGTATAGCAAAGCTCGGAAGTCGGTGTGATATGTCGAGTTTGTGCGAAACGTTTCTTGGCATCTGATCGTACCTGATCGATGGGCACCCTATCTACGGCCCGCGAGGTGGTAACTGGATTGACCAAGCGAGGTGTTACCTTTGCTGCAACATACGATCACGGATCATGGCACCAATGCCAATGCTGTAGGTTCAATTTCTGTAGGGACAGGATGACAGGTGTTGAGATGGGTTGAAGTGACTCGTAGCGACGTTGGATCTCAGCATGTGCAGAGACGCCACATATTAAACTATATGGACCTATAACTGGAAACAAAGTATTCATCAATACCAACAAGACTTGACTTGACCGTTCCTGGCTCTTTTGAGGTTCTGCAGTCTTTTGGCTTCCAATTACTTTACAGTGCGCGGGAGTCATGCAGATGCCGAGACACATTACGGAATGTCGTCTCAATGCTGTCCAACAAACTCTATCTTTCGAACAATGGGGATCGCATGGAGACGAAGCAACTGAATATCCACAACTAGATCAATAGAACACAAATTAGCTCGGATGGTACGGCAGACAGTTTTCAAGCTTCTGGAAGATCTTGTCAAGCCCGATCCGCCTCGCGGTGCCTGTCATGTAAGACACTGACAACCAAAACGGCATACCGTATCAAAAGTTTCCAATGCATTAGGACCATTCCAACAAAGAAAATCTGCCATGTGGACTTGCAGCAACCCCGTCCTCGCCCGTGTTACCCGAGTGTCGGCCCACCGCCAATATCCCCACTCCCAACCCCGGACATCCACATGCGTCATTTTGTTTCTCACCGACACATCTCAAGCTGCAATAAGAACAAATCAAAGCCATCACGAGCTTTGCTGGTCTAGTGGTATGATTCGTGCTTTGGGTATCTACTCATTGATTTGCACGAGGTCCCCGGTTCGATCCCGGGGCAAAGCCCAACTTTCTCCTTTTTGCTCGTTTGTACATGTGGTATATTCCAGCTTTTATAACTTTTCTTTACGAAGTACAATTCCGGTGTATTGTTTTTGTGCCGCGAACGATGCTGTCTGGTATCTATGGTATGTAATCTGTACAATCTGCAACACGAGTTACAGATATCGATCATATGACTAGCGACTTTGTTGCTCCCCTCGAGATGATTGGCCTCTGTAACACAAACAAGCTTATTTATCGAATTATGCAAGTGGTTTGATTATGAATAAGAAATGCAAGTCCTCTATATTCCCATTCTATCATCATCGTGTGCCCCAATGCCTCAGCCATGCCCATGCATCAAAATGATCACCGCCTGCCATGATATCCCCAAATGTCGTTAATACATATTCATCCTCATAGTCATCTCAATGATAGCCCATGACTCGTAAAATATTCTAGGCGCTGTCGCAGACAATGCTGCCGACAACAACAGTGTTGGTGGACAGGTAGGACGGCTTGGAGCTAGTGAAGGGCAGGCCGCCGGTGCCAGTGCCGTTCTCGGCCTTGTACGGCGTGCAGGTAACGGTGGTGACGTCGACACCATCGGCGCCGGTGAGGTAGAGAGTCGAGACCTCGGCCAGGGCCTGCTCGTTGGTGTAGACGGGGCCGATGGGCACGCTGATGGTGTTGTTGGTCAGGCCGCTGCCGGCACCGCCGTGCGATGCCTCGATCACAATGGTCGCGGTGGCATACTCGACGGGGGCGGCAAAGGCCATACCAGCAAGGGCGGCGGCCGAGGCGATGACGAAGGAGGTACGCATGGTGATTGTTTTTAAATGTGGGTGATTGTAGTTTGTTTGAGTAAAGATTTAAGGCGAAGCTTTTTATTTGAGTGTAAACTTGCTGGTTGGTTTGAATGGAGATGTGGTGATGATGAAAGAAACGACTTTGATGCTTGAGCAACCAGTGCCCTTTTATTTACCTGGTTCCAGTTCCCGGTTGATCTGTGCATCGTCAAACACGAGAATGTCATGCTCGGACAATACGATGACTGTAAGCACTATCGCGTCTAAAAGAAAAGTGCAGACGACTAGAAGGCGGCCCGTCGCTATGTGACGTTAGATCGCAGCCCTGAATATAGTGGCGCAGAGCCCAAGCCGGTGGGAAGCTCACTCATGATCTGCGCCCGTGTCTGGGGCAATGCTGGCTGTTTACAGCGGGCCGCGGTGCGCCTAAGCAGCCAATGGCAGCACCATAGCATGGCAGCAAAACCCAAGACAGCGGGATCATACCCATCATTATGCGCGATCTGATGCCGAGAATCTGGGGAAGATTCCGATCTCTTGGGCGGCACTTGGAAACCTAGAATAAGGTTGCCCGCTCTGCAATTCTCCGTGTTCAGCAGGTTGCTTGATTCAATTATTTAGTGCGCTTCTCACATTCTACCCGCCTCAGAAAGTCTCAAATACTGCGCGTATACTGTACAGTCGTTGATGGAGACCCATGCGATCTACAAACGTCTTTGCACTGCGGAATCATCAACAATCACTATGCGGCCGACGATGCTATGCTTGCCACGTTACGTCCGGCAAGGTAGCACAGCTACAAACCGCCTCAGGTGCCTCAGCCCTAAAATTTAGTCCCATGGAATTAAGGATCATAGCCCCGAATGTGAAGTAAGCTCATTCCTCCTCGTGTTTATTCCACTGATGAGATGATCATCCTCAGGCTTGGACAAATTCGGGTCTTCACTAAAGCCGGACAGCTGCTAACCCGGATCTTGCTTACAATGCGTCCCAAGATCGCCACGCTTAGGACCCAACGGCTGCTTAAGCATTTCAGGGGAGGGACTAAACTATGATTCATTTCTACTCATCGGGCATGCGTTTCCAAGGGGCATTCCATTTACTGAGTGAACGGTGTATTTGTCCGTGGCATCTTATTGGCCTACTGCCCCAGCGTATTGCCCGCCGAATAGTAGGGAGAATGTTCCAAGCTGTGCTATTTTTATATCACCATGTGGGGTTTTCCGCAGCGCTGTTGGACGCTCATGATATACTATACGTAGAGAATCATTATGCACTCTGGCGGAATTATTCATTCCCTCGGGCTATAGTCAACGGCATGACGTGAAGTCAACTTACGAGAAAGCGCTGCGTCATGTCCTACCTAATCTACTGGTTGTCTGTATGTATCGTAATCGTAGCTGGGTCCATAAACGCCCGGCCTTCACAAAATGTTCTATCGATCACATTGATTCGACTTATTTTAATTTTCGTCGACCATGTCTTGGCATAGTTTCTTACGTGCCATGATGAAGCAGCTGGTTTGAGTGCTACGGATCTTCCATACTCATAGCGATAAAACCCACAAATCAGGATGGCAGACAGCAGGATAATAGGGAATCTGCCATGGCTAATGTTTACAGAGTTGGTGACAACGGCAACTGCATTCTTCGACCAATAATTATAATGATACCTTGAGACACGACTGCCAGCGAATAACTTGAAGTCATGTCTTGCACCTAGCAACTGGAGCTCGGCAACCAACAAGTCCCCATACGGACCTATTAAACATTCTAAATTTCGGTACTCCTTTACTCAAGCAACAGGATAGACACCACATGAAGAATGCTATTCTGCAAATATTTCGATTTAATCACAAATATGATCACGTGATTGACAACGTGTCTGACCCCGCCGTCCAGGATTTGTTCTCTAGCTTTATTGCGGCTTTTGGTCTCATCGTGTATTCTGATGATGATGGCGAATAGCGTAATTTGTCCCATTATTCTCCAATGCGTAGTGTTCTGCTTTGTCAGCTGAGCCTTCCTTTTCTGGCATGTCACTCGAATAGAATCCGATCATTCTCATACTTACCATTTGAAGAGGTCGACGGACCCCGCTTCAATGAAAAGATCAATGAGCCCAAAACGTGAGCCATATCGCGGGCTCGAGATACGCGATTCAGAACTCCGACTTCTTATCTTACATCCTGGCTCCTGGGAACAAGAACTAAACTGCAATCTCGAAACCGTATCTCATCCTAGAGAGAAAAAGTTCGAGGCTCTCTCCTACACTTGGGGAGATGTGGGTGATCTGCACCAGATTACCGTCAACGATGCCTCTGTTGGCATCACGAGCAATTTAAAGATCGCGCTTCGCCATCTGCGCAAACCAGACAGCCCTCGAACATTGTGGATCGATGCTCTCTGCATCGACCAAGAGGACCACGAAGAAAAAGGAAGCCAAGTGCAGCGAATGGGTGAAATATTTTCCACGGCCTCTTCGGTCCTCGCCTGGCTCGGTTCACCAGAGTTGGGCAGCGAGGAGGCCATGTCGGCGATTGATCAGATCGGCAAAACTCTCTGGCCAATCGTATGCGGCGAGAAAGACCACGTGTCCAAGAGTGACAACGGCTTTGAATATCTGAGAAGCCTTTCACCCGAGGGCTTTGAACACCTTGGACTCTGCCTAGGTGCTATGGACTGGGAAGCGATTTGGGCCTTGTGTGAGCGTTCGTACTGGCACCGGGTTTGGATCATACAAGAACTGGCGCTGGCTGGCGACATCTTTCGCAATGCATCCCAGAACAGGTGCATCGTTGGCTGCGGGTCATCTTGGATACCACTCCCCGTGTTTTCGGCGTTCGTTTTCCTGTTCGGCATCATCAGGGGAAACGCCCAATGGATGGAGCAGAGCGCGAGGCCGCCGCTTCGATTACTGACGACCCGAGATGCCCCCGCGGTCGAAACCATGTTTCAGATCATCTGGAGCCTCGATGCCATTTTTAACGAAGATGATGACTCTCGCGCGAAAAGATCCCTGGGCCATCTTTTACGGATGTCTCGCAAGTTTCAGGCAACAGACTCCCGCGATAAGCTCTATGCAATTTTGGAGCTCGCTGAAAGCCAGCTGGTCACTCCCGACTATACTCTGAGCGCTTCGGAAGTTTACATGAAATGGGTGCAAGCCTGCATTCAATCTGATCGGAACCTTTTTTGTCTGCATGGGAATCGAGAGTTATCAAACACATTTGGCCCATCTTGGATTCCCGAACTCTACAGTCGAGTATGGGATGGGTACGCTTTCGAGGTCGCAGTCCTGGACGACAAGACCGCACGACTTCCCGCCGCAGTATCTTTTGTCGAGAATGACAGCATACTCAAAGCTCGAGGGATCAGTCTTGGCGTGCTGGATCGAGTGGTAGGCCCATTTTCGGCAGACTTCAACCAGCAAGAGAAAAAAGACAACGATGAACCGATCAACGTGACGGCAGGAACATTTGAGAGGTTCTTGGAGCTTGTTCAGCTGTACTTGTCGCTGCCAAAACACGTACAAGAGAGGGCCTGGAGGGCTTTTATTCTAGACATGGACACGAGCAACCGAGACGAGCCCAAGTCCCCGGCTCCAGATAGTTTCCAACACCTCTGGCGCGTGCTCATCTCGCTCGACCCGATTCCAGACTCCTTTGATGACAAGGTGTCCAAGGAAATGCAGTTGAACAAGTACCTCTCGCCCTTCACCGTGAGCCTAGATAATGCTTTATACTCGGAGCGATGCTTCTTCGTCACAGACGGTTTCCGTGTCGGCCTCGGTCCAAAGTGTACGAGACCCGGAGACGAAGTTGTTTTGCTTTTTGGAAGCCCGCTCTGTTTTGTTCTCCGGCGCGTAGGTGAGAGATATCAACTGATTGGGGATGCTTTTGTTCAAGATGCGGCTCCCGAATTATGGTCGACTACTCGGACTGGTCATGTGCCGGCCGCAAAAGACTTCCTTATCCAGTAGAGCTGCTGTCTATTAAGAGTATCTGTACCTATATGAACCTACATCAAATAGCCTATAAAAATCCGGGTTCCATGAGAAATAGAAAGATCTCACACATCCCTCCCATCGCCATCGACTCTTTTTTGATCCCCTTGCAGTGAAGACGGCAAGGATAGACTCTCCGCCGCATTTGAGGCAGTTGCATCATCTGATCGTTTACCGCAGATAACCGCCCAGATCTGCTGGTAACCACCA